ATGATAACGTCCAAAGAAAGCTAGTTGGAATAGAATTATTTCCCTTAACGGGTTGGCAACTTCTAAATATTTTCCTTCCCTGTCAACCACATATGGAGACTGTCGAAGCAAAAATGGAACAAAACAGTGACTTCACACTTATACTTGTGTGACAAAATACTATTAGTCATGCCGCAGCATTCATCTTCTTCCTTTGCATATTTAGAAGCAACGTCACTTGTAGACGTACTATTAGGAGCTGCACTTATAATAACGGTCGAAAATAGAATGAAATATGCGTCTGAAGTTTGGAACGTGAGGAAATATGCTCATAATTGTAACGGCCACAGACACAAACATAATTTATCCAGTCTGGTGCAAACGTAAAATGTGCGGATTATACGCACCGACAGATCCTACAGTTATCTTATCTGGAGGCCGGCAGGAGGTTGTTCACGTATGGTATTTAAGCATACCAACACTGTCGACACTGTGCATATATATATATATGCGGCGCAACGAAGAAGAAAGAAATTTATGTGTTTCTCAAATTGCTTCGCACCGTTTGAAAATATACAACTCTCAAAGAAAGTGCCACACATCTCACAAATCCACACAAAATAAAGTGGTAAGTTAAAACTTAAATTTATCTTGTTACTTGCTGTCCCCTCAACAATGAACTTCAACAATGTTATCATGCACACATATTACTTATACTTATATGTTATCAAACATATCCTGCGCTTCCAGTTGTTTCTGTTGAACTAAATGGAGTATTCTCGGTAACTAAGAAAATTTGTGTTTAAAGTTTTATTGGTTTAAGGTATAAACATCCAACAGATTTCCGAAATTTCACTGTTACTCATCCCGTATTTTTAAAGTATTGGTTTATTGATAAACGCCCTATATCATCCATACACACATATATTAAATGCAGGAAAACGTTAGCTGTCAAGATAGTTTATGCAGATAACAGTTGATGTAGCTTTTATAACATATATCTTGTTCAATACGTTTTTGCTCTTTGGCTACCTACGGACAGCAGGTAGGGACTTTTATCATCTAATTTGGGAGCTTTACGGCACACTAGGCCTTCTGAAATACTATGTGTTGGATGCAATAGACGTTTCATACAGTATCAAATCATTTAAGGTTCCTTTGGCTTGTATAGTGGAAAAGTGGTTTCCTTGTACATTAAGTTGGCACTGATTTATGTTTAAAAAGCATCGTTTCCTCACGGATATTTCTCTTTGACCGGTTAACTGAACACAGAAATAACCACATTGGTATGTATAATAACATACAACGTATCAACACTTGTTCACTTTAAAATTTTCTATCAAATCAAATTCTCTATTTTAGCAGATCCGAAACTATAATAATTTGAAGCCATTCAATACTCCGTAAAAGAATATTTATGAAATTCCATAGACACTTCTCACACGGCAAACATTTATTATTTCATTGAAAAGCGCCTGTGGCGTTTAGTTATTATCAGATAATATGCTTAAATCAGCCACTGTTAGAAGGGTTTACATGATTTTAGATTGTCCGCCTGACCACCATTACCGAAGCATTATTATATTCCCCACAATATTCATCATTATTGTATGCTTTATTTAAGTCCTCGGTACTTACTGTCATGTGTTGCTACGATGTTTAATATCAAACTTATAACCCTACTAATTGCTGTCGAAATATCATTATTCTTAGGATCTAAACGCTGCAAACAAAAATTCGAATTTGCTCGCCAGAATACATTCCACTACCATGAGGTCTTTCAATGTTATTGCCTCTCATCAAATGAAGTTAGCAGGCATCGAAGCGGGACTATTGAGCATTTGTTTGTGACGGCTACCCCTAGACCACCGGGTCACGACGGGCAAAGCTTGGCACAACGGTTAATGAATGATGCTTAGGGTCAATGTGAAATACATGTTGTGTGGTTGGATTGCGACGACAAATCTCAATATTGACCGCCATTCCCGTTAAAGTGAGCCTTAGTCTTTCGATCAAGAGGACGGTGAATGATGCAAGTAGAATTTTGGTGTTGCCCGCCTGGAAAAACTGCTATACTGTAACGCAATTCCGTTAGTACATCACATCCCATATATCTTGTGGGCATCGAGTCCGGGACCATTGGGATGTTATTTGTGTCCGCTGCGCCTAAGCCACCGGGTCACAACGGGCAGCGCTTGGCACAATGACTTAATGAAAGGAGTTAAGGAATTTTTATGTCCACTATGGTTAACTTCAATGAAAATGGCGGTCAAGGTTGAGAGTACTGATGATGAAGTAACATCAAAACGCGTCAAATTGGTGCAGTGCTATCGGGCGGGAAAAACCCACTTCTATTTGCATGACCTACGCTTTTTTAAGTGAACGAAATACCAAGGTTCGCTTCAATGGGGATTGCGGTCAACATTAATGTTGCGAGTCGCAATACATGCATACAATATGTACTTCAAAATAACTCTCAAACCGTTCATAATGTGGCAGTAAATGTAGGGTACTATGAACGGCTTTTAGCACAAAGTGCTGTTATTATTTGTAGACTGCAGATGCAGGCACTGCAAAGCAATTTGTACAACAATGAACGAAAAAGTACTACTCGCTTTTGGATCTATTAAGCGTATGAATGCGTACAACCACCATATCGATATAAAGTGTTAAAACAGCGAGCAAATTTGTTTAATATATGTGCAAATGCAGGTTTTACTGTACAGAGGTATAAGAATGATCAATTGCTAAAAATTAGTTTACCTATAACATAAAATAAAGGGAATCGTCATAGGCAGCAGTAGAATTTGTGTCAATCGTGATTAAATGGAAGTGACAAATGCTAATCTTCGCCAGTAGAAGGCGGTAAAAATTATATGGATCATATACAAATATATGATCAATTTAAATTATTATAGTAAGTTATATATTGATATGCATGAAGCGCTAAGCATAATTACGTTTCCTCTTGGCTAGCTACACTGCGGGTGCACCAGTCAAATGCATTATTTGCGTGACTTAGTAGTCAGACAGCCCAAATAATGTACCAAATTCCATAGAAAATTCATCCATCTTTAAGACTTTAGGAAAATGGATTCAGCATCTTAAATTGCAAATGATAGTAGACCTAATTAAAATTTGTCTAATTGAAACGTCGACAGCTAGGTAATACGAAGTATATAGAACGACTGCAGGCGGGCACATGGGGATATAACATATACATTATTCAGGTTCCTTACGGCCATACCTTAAGCAGACGCATTCAGTTATTAACATAAATAATTTCTGAATAATAAATTAAGGTCTTTCAGCGTTAGTTCTCCAACCAGACACTATATGACCTATATCGTCTTCGTATTTTGTCATCAAGGTGGTAGGATATGAGTTGAATTGGAACTCGGGGAATTGTGATTAACTGCTGAGAACTTAATAACTATGCTACTGCGATACGTGTTCGAGGCTAGGTACATCGGTAAGGAATTTAAAGTTGGGTTTAAATACCGATCGTGTGGTTGGTTTACAGCACGTAATTTCTTTTGACACATCGGTCATTTTGTTTGCAAGGAAAGTATCCGAAATGAAGATGTACCGATGTTGCTCCTCTTAACAATGACACCCCATGATCGGTCTTGCCCTCTTTTGGACTCCTCAGATTTAGGAAGCCTGGTTTGAAGGTTAAGTCAGGAATATTGGTTAATGGCTGTAGCTATGATCTTCAATCTCTTATCTCTACTAAGATTCGTGAGAATTGCTTATAATTTTGTGTCCGTATTGGAAGGATCAACTTGTACAGTTTGGATGCGGTCTTCTACACCGAAATCACCGGAATTTACTTCAAAGTTAACCAAGGTTGCAAAATTGATTACGTGTTATATGTAACCTAAGTGCCGGTACATAAAATTCAAATTGAACAACTCGCTAGCTTTTTTATTTTTCTTGCCAAAATAAAAAATATCGAAAAAACACGCATGTTAAATGTAACAATAAGTCGTAAATTACCATAGAATAAATTATGGCTGCGCAGTAATCAGTTCACTAGCACGGCGAACATTATTTACTTAACACTTGTGAAATCAGATAGGATAGATAAATTTATAGGTATTATTTATGAATTTGCCTCTACAAAATTTCGTATTGAAGAAAATAAATCTGTGTGGTAATCATTCAGTTCGCAAACACTTCGAGTTGAATTGCCTGTTATAAATAGGCAAGAGATACTGAGAAATAAACGCAGTAAAATGAGGGAAGAAAACAATAACCTTAACCTGAATACATAATCCGTTCTTAAAACTAATAAGATTCTCATAGCAAGAAATTTTTTAGCTAGAAATGGTTAACTAATATAACACAGTCAGTCGTACTCCTTGTCACTGTGCTAAGGCTGATGTAATATAATAATATTATTATAAAACATTTACTTTAATTACTGTTAATGTCTTATCATGTTTACTTAAGCTCAATTTTGCTTAATTTGCAATTTACAACTACGTGTCGTTTTCTGTGAAGTTTTTTCCATAAATTCATTACAATGATTTTGCGTTAAGCTTTAGCCACATGTTGATAGGTTTCCTTTGTCACAAGTAAACCAAATTACAAAGCATAGGAGACGAGCGTTATTGCAATAATCACTGGTGATATGAAAATGATAATAAACTATGCCGGATCTTAAAATAACCAGCATACTCACTATTTTACTAAACACACTATTTCATCTATACCACAAATGGTCAATATTTCAAAAACGTTCATGCACAATCTAGCAGCAAACAGAGCCATAATCAAAGCGTATCTGTAAGGAAGCATATCTACATAAGCACAGATTTTCAAATAATAACTGCACATCATCCTAGACAGACTTGCGTTCCTACAGTGTGCTAGTAAGAAGAAAGTCATCACATATTTGTCAAAGTGTTTCTTTTTAAAAAGCAAATCTGAATACTGTTTTTATACATATTCGTTCACGTAATTATTTGACCGACATTGAGCTCGGCTTAATTATTGATTTGACAAACAAGACTTACCGGCAAGTAGTAATATCGCTTGAGAGCTCCTCAGAACAAACGGGAGAGCCAAAACTGTAAGGTGTATGCCAGAGAGAAGAACAAAATTGAAAGTGAAAGTTAACAGTAATGAAGATGATACGAGAAGTACCAAAGCCAAGCACCAAGCTGTGTGAGGTATTTGAGCGAATGCATAATGTCCACAGTTAGTTCTCAGGTAAACCAGTTGTGAATCGGTATCCGTAGAAAAAGTTGCATCATTACCTTCCATGGAGTCCCTTTCGAGGTAAACCGGGTATGCGCATCTTCTGTACAACCCAATGGTGCTCTGGGTAAATTGTAGTTTAAATCCAAAGCTGATGGCTAACGGCGAGTTGGCTTCTTGTTCTAACATTCCTATTAGCCAGTATGGCAAAACACATCCAAGAACACAGAGCACTGTTGAGATAAATATTATGATTGTCCAAAGTAACCACAAAACACGCATTGAAGCAAACTATCAGGAATTCACATTTACACTGAGTATTATGTGCAGATAATCCATCCTTGAAAAAGCCACCGCTAAAGCGTCCTGGTCTTCTGTTTTACAAAAATTATACAGAAAACAGAATACACCATATTATTCCAACGGTCAGCAAGGTTGCAATCTACCGATAATAAATAAATAAATCTTTGTTGTGCACACGTAGTTGCAGGTGACTTTCCTCAACCAATCGCTGCCAGCAATCGCAAACCAAATGTTGCCTAGTGAACGCATATAATTCGAACGGCGGAATATTCGAACCTGCCTGATTAGCAAGCAGTCTGGCAATGCTTGCAATGGTTCACGGCACCAGGTCGGTGTGCTAGCCAAGTGCAAGTTACTGGTGAGAAACAGACACGAACGCATCCACACCCGCTCTAGTAGTTTAGAGCGGTCAAGGTGCAAGAAAATAAACGCATCTTTGGGGGTGGAGGTAAAACTAAAAAGGAGAAAACGTGAAAGATTTCGTGATATCAATCAGGTTAATATAAGCATCCGTATTTTCAGTTGATACATTTGTTAACAAAATTGTGATGTAACATCACATTTTTTATTCGGCAATAATTTGTTTTGACTTTTATTATCTATATATATATTCCGTTTTCCCGAGCAAACCATAAAGGGAGGAGCATTACATTGTTAAGGTTTTAGATAATGAATACGGACTTATCAAAATGTTAAGCAGCAATTAAAATGCTATTTATACTAACATTACACACGAAACAAAGCTCAGAAGAAAACTGTCGTTCGTTACCTTGAGTGGAGAAACGAATGTTGAATTCATTGCGGTCAAATAGCAATAGCAATTAGGCTGAAATTTCTGGTATATTTTACGAATAAGAGCAAAATGTTCGCTAAATTTGCCTTGTTTTAATTGTGATGAAAAGCAAACATAGTTATGTATATACAGCTTAGCAGTTATGTTTGTCTGCTACTGGAACTTGCAATAGAAGCTGATATATTGTGTTTATGCGGACGTGGTTAGCATTATAGCAATGAGTGTAACGTTTAGTTTAGAATTTTGGATGGGTATATGCCAATGAAATGACGATGAGCAATTAATTACAGGAATAATGGATGAAGTATAAGAATAATGTTTGCTAATATTTTCGGTGCCGCTTGACTTGTTTGCATAAGCGAGTTTACACCAAAATTAGAAATGAAAGAATTGAGGACTGATGGACTCAGTAAAGTTTTTCATTCCACTTCACAAATTGCAGTCTAGACGTTATTTAGGCGTGCGTAAGAAATTGAAATATCGTGAGTGGTGAAGCTGTTTGTTAAATCAAACATAGTTTGCATTTTTTCTTTCAATTGAAATGACCCTGTCTGTTTTCCCTGGTAAATAATTTAATAGGGTTTAAATGGGAAGAATGAATGGACATAGTATATTGGAATACACTCTTGTGTCTGATTGCGACGCGCAATTTAAATAACGGCCACGGTTGACTTTGAAGACATTCTTTGCAATTCTGATTACTTGAATCTTTTCCAAAGTTTCGTTATTGCTGTCTCTTAACCCTATACTCCAGAACGCTTTTCCTCCTGATTTCGACTCCGGTTGATACATGTAGATCAAGGAATGGAGCTTGATAAATATTGTTTGGCGACTATCGCCAAGATAATTAAGCCGTTGAACTACTCTAACAGATCTTGCGACAGAGGTTAGAAGTCAAATGCTGTGTATTCGGAGTACACGCCTTTGCCTTGGATTGTGACATTAAACCACAATTATGGTCTCAGATAAATCGGAAACAAACTTATGCTAATCGGATCACAGGAACCGTATCCGAAGAGTAGTAAATGTTGTTCTGTTAACTTTTCCTCTTTCATTTTGCCCCATTTCTTTAAGAAAGACTGGCCAAAGTCAAGCTATAAAATAAGATGAAATACGCATATGTAAAATCAGTTCCCACATGTATCGTTTCTCTAATTAACTAATAATTTCGTATAGCTATTTAACTGCACTTTGTCATCAGGTAGTTTAAACTTATCCTTACAGTTCTGCTTGCTATCTACAAGTTCTTGTACTAGCAGGAAAAATTAATAACATTCAATATATCTTTATGTGGAATATGTTCTTTTCAAATAATTTCTGGTTTTCAAAATGTGGGATATGTTTATCCTTAATTTTATTCCTACATTCTTTTTGAGTATAATTACTAATTACTGTTAGCAAGATAAATTTACGGTTCATATCAAATAATAATTTTAAGCTTAACTACTTATATTTTGGTTAGTTTGATTCCAATGTATTAGCGTAAAAGTCTTGGGTTATTATTTTTGTAAGAACGTTTGGAAAGTTTTGCAAGTAATTCTTTGGAAATTATTGAGAATACCTGTAGCTCGGGATGTGGATGAAAAGATTGTCCTGTTCTCCGAGCTGGGCATTTCTGTTGCAGACGTTTCGTTACCAAACTAGGTAACATCTTCAGTGCAGCTATTTGATGCTGATTCGCGGAGTCTCGCGAACCAATGCCAGATCTGAATGGCTATTGATTGTTGCCTGCTTCGAATGTCAGCCTTCGATCGGTTCACGTGTCCGTCATGTGGGCACCTCTTCTCCTTGTTGATCTGGTGCCTAATGCTGGCTTAACCTGCAGAGCTTCATAGACACCCTCCAGCTCCAGGTGTTTGTTGATTGAGTTCCGGCCAGAATGCCAGGCCTCAAGGAACTCACGCGCTCTGCGGTTTCTTGCTCTTCCAAGTATTTCAACGTTCTCCAGATCAAACTGATGGTTCTCGGCATCCATGTGTAACGATATTAAGGATTTCTCATCGTGGCGGCGGATGGCCAGACTATGTTCGTGCATTCTTGTGCCAAGTTTTCTTCCAGTCTGGCCTACATAGTACTTCTCACAGTTCTTGCAGGAAATTTTGTAAACCACACCCGATGTTTCTTTCTTAGACAGTCTGTCCTTTACCTTAATAAGTTTATTCCGTATGGTTTCCGTTGCTTCGTGTGCAACAGTTATCCCGTGAGGCATTAGAAGCCTCGTTGCCATTTCAGAAATCCCATGGATGTAAGGTAGGATAATAGTTCTTCTTTCTGTTGCACATGTGGACACGGGTTGTGACTGACTCTTTGACATCAGGCAGCGTAGAATAAAGCTTCTAGGGTACGAATTTCGCTGAAACATGTTAAATAGGTGGTCCTCATCCGCCTTTCTCACTTGCGGCGTGCTACAATGTGTCTGGGCCCGTTTGAAAAGCGTCCTCACGCAACTTCGCTTGTATGTGGTCGGATGGTTACTGCGATAGTTTAAGATCTGATCGGTGTGGGTCGCTTTCCGATAAACTGTTGTTTCCAGTGACCCAGAGGCATGTCTTCTCACGAGCACGTCCAAGAATGGCAACTGATCATTGTTCACCAAAGAGGAAGAGCGTGTTTGCATTAGGCGTAATATCCTCGGTGAAATTCAAGCTCCGCAGGCAGGCTAGTTTATTGCGTTGAGTACAGTGGGTAACACCACGTTTAGCATTATTCGTTATTGTATTCGGTCAGGTTTTCGATTTTAAATTTATCTATTGTAAAGTCTTAGTCTATCTAAATTTTTATGCCGCTTTCTAACCGTCAAAGATTGTCCACAGATCGAACCTTTCTGCCTTTTTGCCGCAGTATTGACAAATTAAACGCCATATGATTCTTGTTGAAAAATCGTTGGACATCGACTGTATGTAGTCACATGCTTTTATATCGTGTGAGTTATCATATACTATGCATTGGTCTTAATATTAAGCAATTTAGCATTTAGACGAGAATAAGAATGCCTTTGTTCAAGCATGTTGCAGACGGTGCCGGAGTAAAATGCAACAAAAAGAAGTCAGTAAACATCGCTAGATAGTGGAGAAGTCAAAGTGATCCAAGAAGAGCGGCTCCGGTGTTAACCTCAGACGCCTGACATAGAGCCACTCCTTTGCTCGAAGCAGCCCACTTCCCCGCTGACACTAGACTCTCCAGTTCCTTGTCCATTTGATGATATACATCCCGCTGGCGTGGCTGTGTTAAATCCGACTTGCACCAGTAAACTGGTATGCGATAACAAACGAATTAAGCCAAAAGCGCAAACAGGGAAATAGGAGGAAAAGAAAAACTGTCAATGACAAGCGACGTTTTAACCCTATGTTATTTCACGTGCCTTATTCAACAGGTACAAACTTTCAGCATTGTTATGATCTCGGTGCCAAATTGTCGTAAAGCCTGATTGACATGCTCCAGGGAAAAGGTGATCGGAGCCGGCGGTAAAACCAATCAAGAGATTTGGAAAATTAGAGGCGGGGGAGGCTTGACTTTATGAGTCAACTTTGTAGACGACGCGAGTGCGAGGCTGGTACTATCGGTGACCAATTGGCTAAAAAGGGTTAAATAGCTAAATTCTTACAGGTATCGATAATTTGGACCACGCGAAAATAAGATTGTTTATCATAGAGTTATAACTGCGTACCAATAGTGAGGAGACTTGGCTCCGCTTTGTAAATTTTTGAAAATTTCCCTTTGTTTGCCGAACCCAGATCAACAGGTCATAACGAATAATTCGTGCTCGGAGGTTCTTATCTCAGCCTGCGCCTAGCCTTTATACAATTTATAGTTTAATGAACAAGCTGGCAGATGAATCGCACTGAGTTACTTCCAGTGGTCTGGACGCACTAGGATTAGCAGAATAATATATCATTTCTCAATTGCTAACATCCTCAACCCAAACGCTTACATCCTCATTCAGAAGTTGTCATTCATATTGCAGAATCCATCATTATTAGTGAAGAAGCATTCCTCCTTAGTGCAAAGGCCATCATCCGATAATCATCGCACTTGTATCCACTTAGTACTGCATGGACATTGGCTACCAGCTAATACAATTTGGTATAGCGTAGAGACTGAACACAGTTACGCATAGAATACTCACGTTTTCGGAGGTGGGTAGGAACACTAAGAGACTTAGGTGAGACTAGCGTGGTCCAACTCAAATAGACGACAATTGAGACTTTACTAAACGGAGATCAGTCGGTGCACGGTGTACCGCGTGCCCTCACTGGACAATGGGGTGTCTGAG